GTAGTCAGTTCGTCGTTGTCGTCGTCGAGTTGTTCTCGCCGCCACACCGCATTATCGATGGTATGCCGTTCCACAGGTAAGTGTTTCCGACACTTTGCTTTCTCCCTCCTTTACTCCTTTTCTCCTTCTCCTCCTCCTTCTCCCTTCTCTCCTTCTACTTTCTCTTCTCCTTCTCTCTTACGTGCGACCACCTTTCTCTTTCTCCACGTTCCCTTTCCTTTTTCCTTCGCGGTTCTTCTCCCCCTACGAGTTGTCTCTCCCGTCTTTCTCGCGCACTCTACCCTTCGCTTCTTTGCGCTTTCCCCAGCAAGCGGCCGCTCTCGATCTCGCGTCTGCGTGATCTCGCAGTGGCTTGTTCTCTCCTTGGCGAGGGACCTCCGCGCTATAGGTTAACGAGGCATGGTAGGGACGGCCAGGCCTCCTCCCCTTCTTTGGCTGAATCAACCCTGGCTTTCGGGTTCAGGTTCATTCGCGCGAATTTAAAAATTTAGAGGTTACGGGTAGAGAAAATAAATAAATAAATAAATAAGATTGATGCAAGAAAAATGAATCTAACAAGTCCTAACACTAACTACCAAGTATCTCGTTTCAATGAGACAACTACTGCTACTTATTTGTAATAGAGGACACGAGTTCGAGTCCCGTTGGCCTGTGAGTTGATGAAAAAGAGGTAGGCCCGCCCCCTTGTAGCTAGCAAAAGAGCTAGCCCGGAGGCAGGTCGGATTCGATCCCAGCGTCCCTGGTTCATCAGTCCGCTCCTTTACCTACTGGGCTAGCTTTTACCACGATATGGTAAAGAGCCGCCTCCCTATAAGTAGGTGTAGTAGGTCTGATTTTCTCAGCCTGCATGCTCGTGCACGCTTGCCAGTTAGTACGATCGTCCTTAGGCTTGTTGATTTGATTGTGCGTGCGCCCTTAAGGGCACTTATCTCACCGGAAGGCCCGAAGGGCTGGTACTTAGCCGTGGCGGCGGCATCAAGGGTCGCAGCGGGGTAATTACTCAAGTGTCGGGTAGACTTGTACGTGGCGGATACTCGACCCGGAGACTGAGTAGGGGAAGACAAAGACCGAAATTTTCAGAATCCCCAGTAGACAGGCACTTGACCAAGTCTCAGTGCGTGTCATAGTCCTACCTGACACAATCATCAGTCCAACTGACCCTTTGACCTCTTCCGTCGAGGGGCATTACTGCTGATCCTAATCACCACAGCGCACGTTATAGTAACGCGCGCACACACTTAACGAAATTTTCTCGCCGATTCTTGCCCCGGTCTCAGTGACCGAGGATTTTTGCTTTCAGCGTCACGCCAAGCGTGCACACCCCTTCTCGTTCCAGACTCGCTACGCCATGGTGGCTGATGCCACCACCGTGCCGAATGCAAAGACATGGCAAAATACCCTTGTAAGGGCATTTTTTCCAACAGTATCCCAGACCTCATTAAGCGAGGTCCCCGTCGTTCGGAAAACTATATGCACATAAAGGTGTTTTCTGACAAGCAATTCATCAAATCCGAATCTTGGAATGAAATGTGGTTTCAGGATTGACGTCGTCACCTTACTCTTCATTATTACCACCGGGATTTTAACCCGGGTCTCCCACATAAAATATAATAACTGAAAGTGGGGATATTTGATCTGTACTACAGTAAATGAAATAGTTAAGTATGACAACGCACCTTTCCTTTCCCCACACCCTTAGTTTTTGGTCCATGTATTCGTTAGTTGTTTTCAGGGTTGGTGTTCGCGTACGAACTCAACCCGTCAAACGCGGGTCTTAACCGAGACCTTGGGTGTTCAACTCTTGATACCACAATCCAAAGTTGCCTGTCGTCCTGCCCGAAGCCTAATACAGGAGGACAATGGTCTCCATCCTGACCCACCACAGTCCTGCTGATCAGACCGGAGTTGCGGCCCACCGCGTTGTTGCTTATCGGTGGTTACCCTTGTTGGTTGCGCAACGAGGGGATATTCATGCTATCTTTAAAAATTTTCTAATCTCGACCCCTTCGACATCCACCTGAATAGATCCTTTCATTCGGGTGGCCACCCCTCTAGTTTCTCTTCTAGGCCATAGTCGAAGGGTCCGCTGCCTGGTTATGCTAGGTCAGTAGCCCACGCTGGGAGTTACGTCCCAACGATGCTAATTTTTCACCATAGGCTTGGTAATTTATGCCCTCAGGTTAACCCATGAGGTGGATTAACGATGCTTTTTAAATAAACAAAATAAATGAGATTTTCAATAATTGAGCATTCGTCAGGCTGCCACTCAGGGTTGTGGCCTCCAAGTCTTTGATCATAGCTCGGTGAGGCACGCACCTCGGGGTCATTTTGTATATATATAACCAATATTTATATAACAATTATTTTTAAAATAGACTTTTATTGACTCTTTGCTTGTCAGAATCCATAAAAATAAAATATCACTTTCATAGAGATTTTCAAGAAGAATTTCTGCAACAGAAATGATAAGACTCAAAGGGAGTCTACCCATGTCGTAACATGGTTTTAAGAAAGAAATGTACAATCAATCCAGCTTTCGAAGCTTCACGACTCATCAAACTTTCACATGAGATACAGATCCGCCCATTCCTCTATCTATCACCTCTTTAGATCTCAACAGAGTCTTAGTAGTGATAGACGAAGGGAGATCTTAGGTTATCAGAGACTCAACCAAAGACAAAGGCCCACACACAATGTGACAAGTGCGTCGTGTCCACCAGCTCATCCCCCTGAGTGATATATATAGATACAAGTATGTTACAAAGTCAGATCACCACTCCACTCTGCTATCCCTCAAATACCTCTCATGTTATTTCCTATACTACTTCCTATGCTAAGTTCCCTCATGTGACTGAAGAAAGCACACAACTTGTCTCACTCGTGTTTCTCATGTCCAATTGAAGAAGAAAAACACATATCCCCTTGCTCTAATTTACACCTTTCTCTCTCTCATAACTGTCCTTCAAGCCAATTCAAGTCATAGTTTACTCAAAACATCTACCTATTCCTACATAGAAATCAACTGGCAGTCCCAGTATCCTGTGAAGTGCTACCCTGCCTCCCTCAGGTATCCTGAAAATGGTCTGCCCTGTGCCGGCCACCAATCTCTTATGACTATCATATTTGGCTTTCCCTTCCTTTATATAAATTGCTAGAATGGAACACTCATCCCTTAGGTGCCCTTCCTGAGCGCAGAAGAAACATCTATGTCCAACCATGTTAGGCTTGGTTCTCTTTGTGTCTGGCTGGATTGAAGTCTCAGCCTGATCTTCAGCCGCCTTTGGTGAGTCTAACTGGGATTCCCTTTGCCTTTTACCTTGTCCTTGCAGAGGCATAGCCACACTCTCACTTACTTCATTTTTTGGTGCAGGAGGCTCTTCTTTCTTCTCCTCAGTCTGTGCCCTCTTCTCTTCACCCCCTTTTATTCCCACCATCTTTGTGGCGTTCTTCTCTTTCCCCTCTTGGCTCAATCCGGATTCCTCCATTCCTCTCAATATTTCTTCCCATCTTTTCTCCTACTCTTGTCCCAACTTCTTTCTTTCTGAGATTTCATTGTCAAAGTCCTGCCCTAGCACACTGACCTCAGAAACCAAACCATCCACCCTTATTTTCATCTTACCTCTTGTGACCACTTCCTCTTCCAATTATCTGCTCCGCACATTCAGGGTGACCCTCAATTGGCTCATTTCTTTTTGCAATTCCTCCTTCTCTTTCTTCAATTTCCTCACTTCCTTCCTCATTTCTTCCATATCTCTCATCAACTTCTCCACCTGACCATCCTTCTCATCTTCCTTCTTTCTTATCCCACTTGTCTCTTCCTTGTCTTCAATCGGCCTATTTTCCTTAGTTCTCTTGACTTTGGGAGCCTCGCCTCCTCCCTGGACCTCCTTTCCCTCTTCATCTTCTTCTACTCCTTCCCCTTTTTCACTCACCCTTTCTTGTACCTCTTTCCTTCCACTCTCAATTGCCCTTTTCTTTCCAAGTTTCTTCTTCCTTGGTACCATACTGGCCCCCATGCTTCTTTTCCTCTCCTCTGCTGCCTCCTCCTCTTCCTGTTCATCTCCCTCTGCCTGCTCCGATTCCTTGCTGCTGCTTTTGGGGGAGACCCTCGCCTTGTTCTTCAACTTCTTCAGAGGTACATTATCCTCTTCTTCATTCTCTTCCTCCTTCCCCTGCGGCTCAGTCACTTCTCTTCCAATCCATAGCACCTTCTTTTGCAGCCTTTCCTTCTTTATCTGATCTTGTCTGGCCTGAGTGTAGGTTATCCACAATTCTGCCGTTATCCTTTTTCAGGTCCGACTCCCTTTCACAATTCCTCTTACTTCCTCCTTTTCGTCTTTGTCTGATCTCGCGATCAACTGCTTTCGCTTTTCCTCCTCGCTCCATTCACCCCTCTCAGCGGCCAACTGCAAGCTCTCAACAAAGTCCTCCAGATTGGTCCCATCGAGCCTCAAATCATCCTCCACATCATCCTTTGGGAATTCCCCCATGTCTCTCCATAGTCTCTCCTTGCATACCCTCCATCTTGTGCACCCTGCTATTACTCCTTCAATCCTCCTCTTGTACATTCTTGCTCCACTCACATTCGCAATCTTCTCCCTGTCACCCCATTCTCTCCTGAAGGCGTACTTCTCAAGGTCTCGCAGGAAAACTCGCAGGCTCTCTCCAACCCTGTAAATGGGCAGCTCCTCCAGGTTCCTCGAGATTCTCTGTTCCCTCCTCTGCCCTCCCTTTCTCAAGGCAGGTCCAGAGGGTCCTGCCACTGCTCCTCTCTGCGTCATGACCTCTTTGTTCCAAGGGTCACGCCTGCACACAGAGAAGGAGCAAATGACATCACCAAGGCAACATTCCTTGTTAACACAGGTTGACAATGCCCTCCTTTATCAGATACTTACATACACGCACATATCCCCACTTACCCCTCTGCATCCATGTACGTACACATACATACATATATATATATATATATGTATGTATGTAGCCATATATGTATGAGCATAATCTTGGGTCAATTGGGTACATACCCGCATAGGAACTGATACACATATGCATGTCTAAATACCTTCCCAATCTATCCAAGCTTCCGTATCGTAGCTGAGCTTACCTCTTCTCTTACTCGGAACTTCTTCAGTCTAAATCCGGAGACCCAGTCCTTCCTTGGAGTCTCATCTATCTCTTCCAGCTCATATGCCCCATGAAGTCGCTGTCTCCTGACGTTGAATGGTTCTAGCCACCGTTTGTCAAATTTCCTCGACCACTGCATTTCCAGAGAGGAATCGTAGAGTAGTATTGTCTCGCCAACTTGTAGAGGTTCGAGTCTTACCCTAGGTAGCTTGTCTCACCTTTCCTTATCCTTTCCCCTGCTGTCTGCAACGTTCATGGCTGCTTCGTGCACCCTTTCTTCAATGGCGCAGATCTGTCTTGCCCTTAGATCTAGCAGTTCCTCCAAAGTTAAGTTATTCTCCAAGTCCTGCCTGCGCCAAGTCTTCAGGAAGCTTTCAATAGGAAATGTGGCGTGACGCACATACCAGAGTGTCGCAGGTGCATACCCGGTCATCCTTTTTACAGTGATGTTCTCTACAAAGAACACTGTTCTTAGGAACTTTGGCCAGAGATTCGGCTTCCCACTGGTCCATTTGGCCAGTAAGTTAGTAATTGTGCTATGGCCTCTCTCAACTGGTGCATTCGCCTGTGGATGAGCCCGAGTCGTATAATTGTCATTGACCTCCAATTCCTTCAGCAATTCTTTCACTTCCCCACATGTGAACTCAGACCCCCTGTCCATTGTAAATTCCAATACGAAAGGATATATGAGATAATATTCCTTAATACAATCCGTGAGCGTTGCCCCGGTCTTGTTCCTGATTGCTCTGCCATCAACGAACCCTGTAAGGTTGTCCCTGGCGTCAAATATATAGTTATATCCTCCAAGACCTAGTGGCATAGCCAGTAGATCCAGGTGAACAACCGCCCCTACTTCCTTGATATATCTAGGATGCAGGGGTTCCTTGTACCCGATAGGCGATCGAATTTGACAGGGCACGCATGATTCACAGTATTTTTGCGTCATCTCAAATATTCATTCCCAGTAGTAGAGCTCCGTCGCCTTCTTATAAGTAGCTACAAAACTTCGATGTCCTCCGACTATCCCATTATACAACGCAGCTACTATGTCAATCTGACGATTCCTTCCACACACGACACGTCGTGGCAGCCCCCTCTTATCCCTGATGAACAAGTGACCACCTCTCACCACATAGTGATCTCTCATCCTGAGAGTCTTCTCACTCACTTCTCTCTCTCTTTTATCTCCTGAGAGGAGCAACCCCATTTCTAAATAGAATCCTTCATACTCCTCTTCCCTGAATTCCTCTGAAATTTCTTCTTGTTCGAACTCTCCTTCCTTCTCTTCATCAAATTCGTAATCATCCCCAATAACTATCTCATCGGCCTTCACAATTCCTCTTTCATCATTCGCTTGAACTTGTAATAGCGAATTTGTCAAATAGTACATTCTTCCCATCATGGTTACCTGTTCGTCAGTCTGTTGGACTGCTGCTTCGATCGTTCGCGGCTCATCCATTATCCTATAATTCTCTGCAAGGGCCAACTCCATCATCCATTCCGTATTTCTCTCGCCCCAAGAGTCCTCCTCCTCTAATGGTGTGAGTATCAGGGAAGGTTCTCTCATAAATTCTGGGGGCGGATGCCACATCGGATTTCCTCTCCTCATTTCCTTACTCTCGACAAACATGAACCAACAGTTCACGTGAGTTCGCATGTCTTCCCCTTCGTCTAAAAACCCGTCTACCGGAGGCGTTTCTTCATTAGATTCCCCTTGATTTCCCCACTCAATTCTGTTCATGCCATCCGCCCTGTTTTTGTTCCCAGGGATCCGTTCTAACTGGAAGTCGAACATCCAGATATAGGTGAGCCATCTGGCTATGGTTGGATCTGAGGGCGAGAAATTCTTGAGCGAGTACACAAGTGCCGTAGGATCGATCCTGAGTACAAACCTCCTCCCAAAGAGGTAATGCCTACAGATCCTTAGGCAATGCAGGACCGCCAAAAGCTTCCTTTTCAAAATGCGAGTAGTTTCTTTCTGCCGAGTTCAGTGTCATGCTTTCAAACCGCAGCGGCCTCTCCTTTCCTTCACTGTCTGTTTGAATCAAGACGCCTCCCAGGGCGGTTGATCCAGCGTCAGTTTCAACTATGAAGGGTCTTTCCATAGTCGGATCAAAGTCCGGTACCCCTAGTACCAGACCTCCCTCTCTAAAGTCCTTCTTCAATTCCTCCACCACTTCCCCATTCCTGATCCTTCCGGACTAGCTTCCTTAGATGCTCTGTTTTGCTAGCAAATCTTTCTATGAATCTCCTCTAGAACCCACAAGTACCAAGGAAACTTCGGATTTCACCCACATTTCTGAAAGGAGTAGGTCATTCCAGGATTTGATTGGTCTTCTTCTTGTGAGGGCGCCGATCATGCTCGTTGCAAATGTATCCTAGAATGGTTACCTCTTTCACGCAGTGTCTTGACTTCACACCACTGGCGGTGAGGTTGTACTCTTCTAGCAGAGATAAGACTTCTTTTAACCCTTGAACATATTCCCACACAAACTTTCTTACCCCTGGAGCCACTTCTGACTCATCCTTCTCAATCGAGCCCTTGATGGCAAGATCCTCTATGTATGGCTCGGTGATCTGAGGGCTGATTGGCTGCATTCCCCTGATCATGCTTCGTTGCACTATGGCCATAGCATTTGTTCATCCTTGCGGCGCAACATTCATATGGACTAATCCCCTTGGCATGTACATCGTCGTGATGGGACGGTCTGCCGGATAGACTGGAAACTGATCATATCCAGAGTAGAGGTCGATGAGGGACACAATCGACCTACCTGCACAAGCTTCTGATAACTGGTCAGCATTGGGCAGACCCCCTGCATCCCTTACAGTTACCTCGTTCAGTCGTTGGGGGTCTTGCACCCATCTGAAAACTCCATTTGGCTTTACAAAACAGAACCAGGGAGAGGCRTATGGTCCACTGGAGTACCCTGCCACATCCGTGCGGATCTTTCCATCTAAGTACTCTACCACCCTTCTGCGATCCTCAGGGTTGGGATACTTAGCCCCTCGGACATTTCATGGCTCATGGGGTACAGTATGAATACGGATCATTTCTATCTTGTCTACATCCAGCCTTCCACGTTGATCATCGTTGAAGACATATGCCCCATGTTTTTCACGTATCAGTTCTTTTACCAAGTCCTCCTCTTGCCTTGTCAGAAAGCCAGGTTCCCCTATTATCAGTTCTTTCTCAGTTTCATCGTCGATACGACAAGGCCCGTGCTGGATGCCTTCCCTCATTCGCTGTATCATTTTTCTTTCCTGATCATAATACACCCCTTCTTCTTGACTCACTAGAACTGGCACAGGGTGGCTCTTCTTATCTACTGTCTTGTACCTCCTTTTGGAGCCCTGCTTGAGCCCACCCCTAAAAAATGTTGACCGACAGCTTGAGCATTCGGCGCATGCGGCAATTTCATCTGAGTAGAAGGAGGTGGCCGGTAAACGAGATCGACCCTTCCTCCTTCCAGATCGTCCTGGATTCTTTCTGCGAGTGCCCTGACTGCGTCCGGATCAGCCATCCTATAAGCCAATACCAGTTTCACTGCGTCACTGATCTTTCTTAGACTTAATACAAGTCATTTGGCTTCTTCATCATCTGACTGCTTTTCTTGTTCTTTCCATTCCAATTCTCTCCTTCTACTCTCCGATTCCTCAAACGTGTAAGATCCTGCATTGAGCCTGTTCTTCGAGCTATGCGGGCCTGTGTTTCTACAGGTGATAACCTCGAAGTTCCCACAGGCAGGATCGCACAAGATGACGAGCATAGTACCGTCATGCTTGTTCATAATGAGTGATTCAGATCTGCACAGGAATGACCTTCCCAACAATATTGGAAGGTCCAAGATGGGCATGACGTAGAAGCACGTACGTACCTTGACTCTTCCTATTTCTATGACCACATTTGATGCGACACCAGTGTATCCGGTCTTGTCGCTGGCTCCATTGAGGAACCTGAAATCATTCTCATCCACTTCCAACCCTAGTTTTACCGCGGTTTCCCCATTTACAATATTCATTTCTGCCCCGGTATTAACCATCCCAGGACACATCTTTTCCTTTATCAAAATATCAATGGACCCTGTTCCCACGAATTTCCAGTCCATTTTGCTTCCTGCCACGCTCCAGTAAGCCTCGTTGGGAATTAAATCCCCCATTCGGACCTAGGCTACTCTCCGGCGTGATAACCTAGCCTTCACCATCTCTCTTAACTTAGGAGCTGAAGCGAGAATTTCTTTCAGGTTTAATAGTTCATTGTGCCCCTCTAGCAGTTTATTCACTAGGCCTTCCAGATCCACTCCTTCTTCGATCGAGGTTTGGTACTTTCTCTTCTTGCTTGGTCCCGTATCCCCTTTTGATCTTTCTAGCTTCGCCTTTTCTTCTCTTACCCTTATCTCTGCCCGCCTTTCTTCTTCCTCCCTAATCTTCTCATCCTCATCCTCATCACCCTCTATCGTGATAGGTGGTTCTTCAATGCCCAGGTACGTCTCTCCTCTTCCAACCTCGTTCCCCAACTCACCGATGCCTCGCGGACCCAAAGGCTGCCGTGCATCTAATCAATAATAGTAGTAATACTAATACTAATAATAATAATAATAATAATAATAATAATAATAATAATAATAATAATAAGCAACAACGTGATGACAATCCCAAATCATCACATTGATAGCCGAAAAGTCACACCGGTGTCCAGAAGCAGCATTGCACCAGATACACCAATGGAAGCTCGTAGCACTGAGAACCGATGTCCAGGGAGAGCATACTCTCTCCTCCCAACACGAAGGACCAGTTCCTTCACACTCACACCCAACGCTCGGTGTCCGGCCTACTCCTACACAGCTACTACAGACTTACGAAAAGACAATGCAATCGTTGACATCCGCGGCCGCCCGAAGTACTTGGAGGGTTCGCCCATGCAGACCATCGTCAGCGCCAGGTATGCGCCTTCACATCATCATCATCATCATCATCATCATCATCATTATCATCATTATCATCATCCTTCACTTATCCCCTCCTTTCTCCTCTCTTTCTCCTTTCTCTCTCCTCCTTTCCACTTTCTCTCTCTCTCATCTTTTGTTTTGTTTTCCCCTTTCTCTCCTTCGATCTTTCTCCTCCGATTTCTGCCTTTCTGTTGCATCCCCAGATGGATGATGTAAGCCAAGGATCCGCGGCGTGACGATCGGGACTGATGGACCACACGGTGCGAATGGAATTTTCGACAAGTCACGTGCACGCACACCCACATGCATTCTTATACGTGCATAATGGGTTGAATAGCGCAGGGAAGACTTAGATACGGAGACTGACCTGACCGGGACTCACCCCTAAAGTGCATGATAGCGTAGCAGAATGATAGAACACCAGCCCAAATCAACGTGGCAATGCGGACCAATCATACATCATGCTCATCGCAAGGTGTGTACGGACCTGGCGCTATACCCAGGAGGGAAAGGCCAGGACCGAACATACACAGACGAAAAAGGATGGGAACAGACGAACGGAGGGGATCAGACGAAAAGAGGGAGAGAGATGTGAATGTCGTCATCACCAAGTCTTTGCCACCAATCCCCGGATAATTCCTTGTTTCCATATCTAAAGTCCTAAAGCCGAGTCTGGATCCGACGTCACGAAGCTCTATCTCTCTCTCTCGTAGTCTGCAGATGCTGTGAAGTCAAATGTTGGGAGGGGAAAAGAAGATGGGGGACTTAGAGGAGGAAGACGAAGAACTCTCTCATCTCTCTCTCACCCTCTCTCTCCTTGGTCGAATCATGAACGTCTCACACCCACGCATTCCATCGATAGGACGAGCAAAGACGGAATGAATCTTTTGCTGAAACAGGGAGATATGCACTATCACCTTTTGATTTGCTCGTTCTATCGATCCAAGTAGCATGCGTCGAGCCGTGGGGCTGGAGACAAGGTTGTTGGCCAAGGTAGGAGACTTATAGTGTCTCTCCCTCTCCCTCTCACACACACCCATACACCCACACACACACACACACACACACACACACACACACATTTCATCGATAGGACGAGCAAAACGAAATGAATCTTTCGATGAAAATATGGGAACATACACTGTTACCCCTTTGTTTTGCTTGTTTTATCGATCCAGGTAGCGTGTGGCGAGGTGCGAGTTGGAGACTGGGCCGATTGCCAAGGTCGAAGACTTCCTCGTCTCTCTCTCTCATTCTCATACATGCACAATCACCTTCTCTTTCTCTCCCTCTTCGATCTCCTCTCTCTCTCCTTTCGATCCCTCTCTTTCTCCCTTCACCTTCTCCTTCTCTTCCCTTTCTCTTTTCTCCTCTCCTCCTTGATCTCTCTCCCATCACACCTTCTCCATCTCTCTCTCTCTCGTAGTCTGCAGGTAGCGAGAGAGTGAGGGAGAGATGGTGGACTTAGAGGGAAGGAGGAAGACTCTCTCTCTCTATCACACATACACACACACACACATACACACACACGCACGTACGTGCGAGCACGCTCACACATTCTTATCGATAGGATGAGCAAAACAGAATGAATCTACTGCTGAAATGTGGAGATAAACACTGATACTTCTTCTATTTTTAGTATTAATAATGGTAATAATGACAGCAATTGTAATAATAATAACGATAATAATAATGACAATAATAATAGTTTTTATAATAATAATAATAAAATATTAAACGTATGTGAACTTTTTCGATACAGCCACTATAGAAGAGGCACCGCGTCCAACATTGACGCGCTAGAGTGGCCGATAATCGAGCAACATTCTCCTATCTCTCCCCTTTTTTTCGACCTTTTTTTTTTTCTCTCTGTCTCATACTTTCCCGTACACATTCGCACACACCCTTTAGCCCACCGCATCGGTGCTGACCAGGTCAAGAACCGGCCTCTCCTAGAAGTATGAGATAGCGTAGTGGGACACTTGGATTCGAACTATCGACGTTGCAATGTAACCTCAAACATACATCATCATCATCATTTCCATGGTGTAAAGGGTCTGGCGCTCTACACAGGAAGACTGCGCCAGCCCAGACCATACCCAAACGAAGAAGAGGGGTGTTAAGACGAAGGAGAGGGGAAGATGGGAATGTCGTCACACCAAGTCTTCGGCACAGGCTCAAACAGTCTCTCGTCAAAATGTCTGAATCCCGATGTCGAGTCAAGATCCAATGTTGTCAAGTCTCGAGTCACAATTCTTTCTCTCTCTGTCATAATCAACTGATACTGAGCAGTCAGGCGGCGAGAGGGCGAGGGAGAGATGGACTTAGAGATGAAGAAGAAGAGCTTTCTCTCCCTTTTTCTACCTTTTTCTCTCTCTCTTTCTCTTCCATACTCACAACCTCCCTCTCTCCCTCTTACGCACATCCGCTCGTATCTGGCCATATTCGCGGCTCAAATAACAATAAGAGCTAACAAGAACCATCGGTCATATAGCAATTGTGATGGCTGGCACAAATGCTTCGTGATCTTACCATAATCGTAGCCCGTATGTAAAGTTATAAAATAATAAAATAACAATGATAATAATAATAATAATAGTAATAATAATAATAATAATAATAATAATAATAATAATAATAATAATAATAAAACAGATGGAATGTATACAAGCTATCTTTTCGACCTAATGCATTATCACTGGGATGCGTTGTACTTGCAGCTAACAGTCAGTCTCTCTTTCACATACACACATCCTTGGTCGATTCACGATCGCCTTCACACACACACACTCCATCGATAGGAAGAGCAAACCCGGAATGAATCTTCTGCTGAAACGGGAGGATATACATTGCCTCTTCTTGATTTTCTCGTTCTATCGATCCAAGTAGCGCGCGGCGAGGAGTGGGTAGGAGACTTATAGACTCTCTCTCTCTCATTCACCTAAACACACACACACTTCATTGACAGGATCAGCAAAAACGGAATGAATCTTCCGCTGAAACGTGGAATATACACTGCTACTTTTCGTTTGCTCATTCTATCGATCCACGTAGCTTATAGCGAGCTGCACATTGGAGGCTTAACTCTCCCTCTTTCTCGTAGTCCGTAGATATCGGGAAGTTAGATAGTGAGAGGGTAAAGAAGAGATGGCGGACTTAGAAGAGGAAGAGGAAAAACTTTCTATCTATCCTTCCTTCTCACACACACACACACTGGAGTTGCATGCATATTACCATGCCGTATGAGTAAATTCATCAAATTTTATTTATTTATTTTTTTATTTTATTTATTTATTTATTTTATTTATTTATTTATTCATGGGAGTTCTATGAAGTAAGTCGAGTGATCATCGACTCACCTGTCTTCTCTCTCCCGTCGTCATCTGATTCGTTGTCGTCGCAAGCATGTAGTCAGTTCGTCGTTGTCGTCGTCGAGTTGTTTTCGCCGCCACACCGCATTATCGATGGTCTGCCGTTCCACAGGTAAGTATTTCCGGCACTCTGCTTCCTCCCTCCTTTACTCCTTTTCTCCTTCTCCTCCTCCTTCTCTCTTCTCTCCTTCTACTTTTTCTTCTCCTTCTCTTTTACATGCGACCACCTTTCTCCTTCTCCACGTTCCCTTTCCTTCTTCCTTCGCGGTTCTTCTCCCCCTACGAGTTGTCTCTTCAGTCTTTCTCACGCGCTCTACCCTTCGCTTCTCTGCGCTTTCCCCAGCAAGCGGTCTCTCTCGATCTCGCGTCTGCATGATCTCGCGGTGGCTTGTTCTCTCCTTGGCGAGGGACCTCCGTGCTATAGGTAGACGAGGCACGGTAGGGACGGCCAGACCTCCTCCCCTTCTTTGGCTGAATCAACCCTGGCTTTCGGGTTTGGGTTCATTCGCGCGAATTAAAAAATTTAGAGGTTACAGGTAGAGAAAATAAATAAAAAAATAAATAAGATTGATACAAGAAAAACGAATCTAACAAGTCCTACCATTAACTACCAAGTATATCGTTTCAACGAGACAACTACTGCTACTTATTTCTAATAGAGGACACGGGTTCGAGTCCCGTTGGCCTATGAGTTGATGAAAAAAAGGTAGGCCCGCCCCAGCTCTTACCACGGTATGGTAGAGAGCCGCCTCCCTATAAGTAGGTGTAGTAGGTCTGACTTTCTCAGCCTGCATGCTCGTGCACGCTTGCCAGTTAGTGCGACCGTCCTTAGGTTTGTTGATTTGATTGTGCGTGCGCCCTTAAGGGCACTTATCTCACCGGAAGGCCTGAAGGGCCGGTACTTAGCTGTGGCGGCGGCATCAAGGGTCGCAGCGGGGTAATTACTCAAGTTTCGGGTAGACTTGTACCCCACCAAGCAGACGTAGACGTGGCGGATACTCGACCCGGAGGCTGAGTAGGTGAAGACAAAGACCGAAATTTTCAAAATCTGGAGGGAAGAGAGGCACTAGACCAAGTCTCAGTGCGTGTCATAGTCCTACCTGACACAATCATCAGTCCAACTGACCCTTCGACCTCTTCCGTCGAGGGGCATTACTGCTGATCCTAATCACCACAGCGCGCGTTATAGTAACGCGCGCACACACTTAACAAAATTTTATCACCGATTTTTGCCCCGGTCTCAGTGACCGAGGATTTTTGCTTTCAGCGTCACACCAAGCGTGCACACCCCTTCTCGTTCCAGACTGGCTACGCCATGGTGGCTGACGCCACCACCGTGGCGAATGCAAAGACATGGCAAAATACCCTTGTAAGGGTATTTTGTCCGACACCGGACCCCCACATGCGGCCCCACCCCATTCTTGACCACCATGGTTGGTGTGAGGGACACAATGCATCCCCTCTGATGGCTGGAGGGAGACAACAAAGCTTTGCCCCTGAATTTGTGCGTGCACGCGTCTGACGCAAATTTTTCGTTTCATTTTCGTTTTAACTTTTTATTGTAAAAGGCCCAACCAATTTTGAGGGGTGGGTAGGAGTGCCAGTTTGACGGGTGTAAATGTGTGAGGGAGTGGATTGTGTCTTGTGTGTGGGAGAGTGTTGGCCATAGCTACTGCTGCTACTTGATGGGGGTTGGGAAGTAGATGGGGTAAGTGCAGCTACTGGCGAAATGCTCGGTCTTTCCGTTAGTGCGCCCCCCCCCAACCCCTCCCCCAACACCCCCCCCAACCCCCCACCAACCGGCTGCCCCAGACTACTCCCTGACCACTGCTTACTAGGGCGGGGTCACCATGCAGGGGTTCCCAGTATAGACTTAGGAGTAGTGGTAGTTAGATAATGAAAGGTGAAATTGAGAGAAGAATATAGTTTAGTTTTTGAAAAAGGAATTAAAAAGAAAACATAGTTGAGTGAAAAAAAATTTCAAGAGGTGTCAGAAAGGTGTTTCAAGAGTTCCTCTTGAAGAACACCCTAATTCCCAGCCTGCAACACGGAAGATTTCAAGTGTGCTTGGGTGAGCACTGAGAGCACTCTCTTTTTTTTTTTTTTTCAATACCGGGCCCCAGTGCCCAAGGCTCAGATTAGGGCAGCACTCTCGATTTTCAAGAGGGATCAGACACACAATCCAAAAAAGACACAGATATGTGCGTCTTTCATCTCTCACTCAAGATAATCAGGGCAGCACTCTCACACTGCGGTACAAATCCGCATAATGCCCAGAATCCCGAACAAATAGTGTCGAGGGATAGTCACACAAGGACCTTCTTTCCCAAAACTTCTTATGGGTGGCCGCATTTATCAGCGGCCTGAGGGGCCTAGGGGGTTGTGAAGTTGAGGTTGCCCCAAATTCCCTTTCTTGTTTGATGCAGCCAGGCTCACTGTCTGTCAGTAAATAATTATGGCAATCTAGTTTGATTCCGAAGCTGGTGTACGATGATAAGGATGATGAGGACTGCTTGCACTTGGGTACTCGGTAGTCCAACAGAAGCCACCGTTTGCTTCCCTCTTCGCGACGCCAAAACAATAATTTTTGAAATGGACTTCATCCACTGATGACGCCAGAACTCCAGAAATTGGGTTCTGGCCCACCAAATCTCAGTTCCCATCTGACAGATGTGCTGGAGAACCTGCTGAAATGCGACTGGGACTTCGCGGCAGGCTGTGTGCCACTGATGGTGGCAATCTCAACAGTATCACTAGCTCAATGCCTTACGTGCGACTGGGCCCTGAACTGAACTGAAATTGTTCGTGTCAGAGGAGAAAAGGAAAAGAGAAAAGGGAGAGTTGTACCCAGCACATATTTGTGAATGGTGTTCCTGTCAGTCGAGAAAAAGTAAAAGAGAAAAGAGAGAGAGAGAGAGAGAGAGAGAGAGAGAGAGAGAGAGAGAGAGAGAGAGAGAGAGAGAGAGAGAGAGAGAGGTACCCAGCGCATAATATTATGTGTGAATGGGGTGCCACACTCCAGGACCTTCCTAACAGGGACTTCAACCAAGTAAGGGGCTAAAGTATAAATGTTTAGATTTCCCAGAAAGAACAACTTTCTTTTCTTTTTTCTTTTCTGTTAGCTTCAAAGCTTCTTTCATTAAAAAAAAAAAAAAAAAAGAAGTTTCTTTCATGGAAACAGAGGCCTGGGAACCTGAGTGCTTTCATGATGTTCTGAAGAAAATTTCTGTTTTCTTTCTGTTAATATCTGCAGGGATGCTGGACCCGGGCCCAGCAGGTGACATTCTCCAGTATCTGCACCAATGGGGCTCGTTCGACACTCCTCGGGGCGTCCTCGGGCCCCGAGGAAAAAATATTGGAGTCTCCCGAGGAATTTCCCACCTTCGTTCCACTCATCCTCGGAATTGTTCCCCGAGGACGACTCCTCGGGGCCTTCCGCGGCGAGTTTCATATATCGACGAGCGGACGGCGGGTGGGGGGGGTTGGTCCATCGCGAAGTGTCCGTGCGGACGTCGTTGGTCCACCTCGGGCGGCCGCCGTGAAATTGGAATTTGGCGGCGAAAAAAAAAGAAACAGAGAAAAAGGCGCGCAGTCCCGGGTTCGAATTTCCGCAAGCGACAGACGGGGGCGTGGGCGTCCCTTGCGGCTGACGGCAGCACCGTTCGTCGGCGGAAGCGTTTCGGCACGGGGTGGCGGCTGCGTGTGGGTAGGGCACGCCGAACGTACATTAAGACGTCGTCACACGATCGCCGTCGTTGTCGTCTTCGCCGGCGCACCCCTTCGTCGTCGACGTGTACGCTGTGTTGTGTGGCGACACTGTGGCCCGCCACACGTGGAGTCTTCTGCAGTTGGCGACGGCCATGTGGACAGTGCAGTTTGTGGCGATGGCCATGAACGGGGGGAGGGGGGATGACACATTGAGCAAGGCTGAGAGGACGGCGGTGGCAGCGGCCGTGAACGCCATCCTCTTCCGGTGTCAATTGCAGAGGGGCGAGGAAAGGATGAGAGCGGCCATTCGCGCACGGCGGAAGAGGACGCTGCAGTCGTTCCATGCAGAGGGAGAGGACAGTGCTGCCATTTGCGACGCCATGCTGCAGGTGTGCTACACCATGGGATGTGGAGCATTCCCCAGAGCGACGTCCAGGTGGTGGATGAAGCGACGGACGGGCGGGACGTGGGAGAATTTGCGGTATTGCGTCGCCACGTGTGTTTCGAGAGATCACGGAAACTTTGTCTCCCTTCCTTGAATGGCGTGTCACTTTCTATAGGGAGCCCCTCCAGCCTGACCACATTGTCGCGTACGCTTTGTACAGGTGGGTGTCGGGGGAGACGTACGAGAGCGGGACATGCAGCTTCGGCATTGGCAGATCTTCCGGGTTGGTGGCTGTGCGGGATGTGACTGCGGCGTTGCTGAAGGCGTACCCCGAAAAGATAGAGTGGCCGACGGGTCTGCAGAAGGCGGTCATCTTGCGCGCTTTCGCTGACAAGGGTTTCCCTAACTGCCATGGGTGCATCGACTGCACCCACATCTTCATCGACAAGCCAGCAAATTGCCCCAGGGACGACTACTACGATAGAAAACGCCGTTTCTCCGTCCAGGCGCCCAATCGGACCGCCACCCACTTCCATGGCCACCACGGCCAATCGGACCGCCACCTACTTCCATGGCCACCACGGCCAATCAAGAACCGCCACGACTTCGAAGAACCGCCACCCACTTCCATGGCCACCACGACCAATCAAGAACCGCCACGACCAATCAAGAACCGCCACGACTTCGAAGGACAGGCGACGGGTACACGGATGACCGAAAGGCTCCCACTTTTGTGTCATGCGGACGATGGAACCGATGACTCGCACAACGCAGGTGGCACGAACTCTATCGCTCGCGGATGGCCTTCGCTATCTCCAGCAGAGCGTGACACATCAGTTTGCTAACTTCGTGAGACGCTACATATGTTTTTTTTGCACTTCCACCTCCACTTCCAACGCCTCACATTGCCGGATTTGGATGGAGCACTGACGCTTGTTGTTGCTCTCCATCGTCGATGCCTCCAAAGCCCCGTGCTTCTCTATGCATTCCGTCAACGCTTCGAAAGTTTGCTGCCTTGTGCTCTTCCTCTTGCCGAAACCGGCATGGCTACCCGTCGTCTGCGAAGAACCTCTCGTCAACTCGTCGTCGTCGTCCTCGTGCCCCGCAGCATCGTCCCCATCCCCCACAGAATCAGGATCCGCAGAAGTGGTGGACGGCAGACACACCCCACCCGGAGCACCACTGTCGGCAACGTTCTTCGAGTGGATGGTGTGGCTCTTGGCGGTCGACGCCAGAATCTCGTCGTAAAAGGCACAATCCATGTTGAAATTAAAGCCCTTCGACAACCTCTCCTTCCCGGACAATTGGAAGAAGTCCCGTTTCCCCGACAAGCCTTGGAAGCGATGTACCTTCTTGAACTGCTGCATCAAATTGTCCCACTTCTTCCCGCACCGTTCGGCTTCTTTGTCCACGCCCACCTTCTTCAACCTCTCCTCTACATCCAACCACTTCCATTCTCGCGACTTCATACGACCGAACGCGGTACCCATCCCCTGCAGATAAGCGTCCTGGTCACGTTTAGCCCGGATGAGGGCTGTCATGTCATCCGCTGACCAGAATTGACGACCTCCTTCCACATCACCGTCAGTTTCGGCATCGCTCCCCTTCCCCGCCACTTTTTTCCCCCGACGAGGATTGCGAGGGCACGCCCTCGTCTGCCCGCCCCTCCCTCCCATGGTGGTCTGCTTCAATGACAATACGCGGCCGGCGTCGTCCACCCCACCTTCAAAGTCGTCGTCATTGCAGTCGTGATCGTCCACGCCCACCGCAGGTGCGTCGCCGCCGTTGCCGTCGTCCCCCACACGCAATCGCTGCACTCCCCGACTTATGGATTCCTCCCGCCGTGGATGAAGCGTCCATTGCTGTTCTGCCCACACCTCCCTCCCGTCCCATGCATCACCAACATCGTCGATGCCACAACCCGTCTCTCGGCATTCGGCTCAACGGCGGCCTGCAGTGGAATTGGCGGACAGGGGAGATGGAGACTGCATCCACAGGGGGCGAGCTGACGCACCCCTCGACACAGACGACGCCCAGTACTGCTGCCTCGGAGGATCCCCGTTGTTCCCCGACGCCTCCCGGATCGGCGCTGGGGACTTCGACGACCGCGCAATAGCCGTCACCTGCCCACCGTCGTCTTCGGCGTGGTTGTTAATGATCACCGTTCGCAACGCAGCCGACGACCTCCCGCTACACAGCCCAAATGACAGATTGACGCCTCCATCGCCCTAGTCGCCACAGAGCCCTTGCTGGAGGAGTTCGGTGTATGACTGGGCATAACCGCCACCGCGGCTTCCACAAAGCTCTGTAGCCGCCCACTCCTGGGTGGACCCGCTACCAGCGACACGGTCCGTGAGCATCTCTCCACCTCCTCCTCGTCGGACGTGTCCTACAGAGGCTGCAAGTGCGGTGGCAGGTGTGCGTACCCAGGCCACTCCGACGGCCTTGAAGTTCTCGGCGGGCTCTGCCCAGCGCGCTGGCCACTGCCCTGATCCCCTGCATACTTGCACATCACCTGCCGCCCCTCCATACTGACGTCCTTCTTCGAACACCGTCTTCTACGGCCACGTCACGGACCGATGCCGACGAAACACACGTGGAAGAGAACTAATAGCAGGAGCAGGAGGACGACGAGCACCAGCAGCAGCAGCCTCCGAAAGACGTCGGCCATGAAACACACTTGGACGACAGCAACAGCTAGAACACAATGGTGGACATCCAGGAAACGACGAGGGTAAGTGTCGCAAACGACAGATCGCAGCTACAGACAAAACCAGCATAACGTTTTCCGTCGCGGAAGACAGTGCGCAATCGGGAGAGCGGGGGCCGGCTGAAGTATTCGAATCTGCCGACCGTTGGGCGCTTTCCCGCGGGTGCCGAAGGGCAGCGACGCAAGGCAGCCCCTTCTCGACGTCGCGGAGGACGGCAGGCCGCCCAAGGGGACCGTTGGCCGACTATTCCACGACGGGATCCGTTGCGAACCGGAGTTGTCCGTCCACAGGCCGCCAGGAACAGCAATGGACCAGCCGCGTCGAAAATTGTCGTCGAGGGAGCTGCCATCGACGCCCCGATTCTTCCGGATGCTCGACCTCCAAGGGACCTCGGGAGGTCCCTTGGGGAACGCCTCGAAATGGCTATAGCCCGAGGAATCCCCGAGGAAATGTTTTCACATTTTGTTTTCGTTTTCTTCCCCGAGGATAAGTGGAACGATGATTTCCTCGGGGATTTTACGCACCCGAGGAGTGTCGAACGAGCTGTACTGTAGGAGTGGGGCCTCTGATCACCATTCCTTTTTTTTTTTTAGAAACTTCTGGGGAGGGTGACACTTGGGAGAGTGATAAGAGCATCTGCCTCAAGTGGTCCCTCGGGTGAAGGCTCCATCTATTGGTGGGGAGTTGCACCTGCTGGAAACGGGGTTCAGCATCCTGAATACCATTCCTAACAGGGACATAGGTGTTTTTTTGTTATAAAAACAAAGAAGAAGGCCGGGGAACCTCACAAACAACCCGGAAAGACAAATCAGGTGGGAGGATTACCCAGTTTCGAAATCAAAAAAAAAAAAAAAGGTGCGAGCATTACCCAGTTTCTCTTACAGGGGTGTTGTCCATTAACAAAGAGGATTGGATTGAGAGTCCGAATGTGGATGTGTTGTAGGAAGGAAGAGGGACACATGTCCCGAAGGACGAGGAGGCGGGGCGGCGGGCGATCACGAAACGGAGCTGCGCTAACGTGCGTTGACTCACGTGCCAGACCTCTCCGTCGGCATAGCCGAAGCGATGCATGGTTGACTAGGGCGCAAGGGCGCTTGGGCGTGCGGAACTTCGCGGGTCCCTGACGGGTTCCCGGCTGTGGCTGACCTTGGCCAACTCAAACTGGTATTTCCAACTGGTCTTGTCGGGTGCGTGGACAGAGTGGGGGAGACTGTTGGGCGGGGTCAGTTTGTCGCAATAAACAAGATATGTGAAATGATCGGAAGGGCTATTGCCCCTCTGGTCCTCAGATACACAAACTATTGATAGGGATCGTCGCTCTAGGCGAACGTTGTCTTCTTTTTAGTTGATGGACGAGTGTTGCTCGCCCTCCATTTGACTACGGCCTGGTGTGACAGTTGATGGCTTGCTTTCAACCCCGAAAGAGAGTGGGCTGTCGATATTGCCCTGGCTACGGTCAGATTTGATGAACTTGTCCGAAATGATGACCGCATGCAGATTTTATGGATGAGAGAGAGAGAGAGAGAGAGAGAGAGAGAGAGAGAGAGAGAGAGAGAGAGAGAGAGAGAGAGAGAGAGAGAGAGAGAGAGAGAGACTTGGTGTGAGGGTTGATGGCTTGCTCTTTATCCCGAAAGAGAGTGGGCCGTCGATATTGCCCTGGTTACTGCCAGAATCAATGAACTTCTCCGAAAAGATTTTGTCGACGTGTCATAGAGAGAGAGAGAGAGAGAGAGAGAGAGAGAGAGAGA